GCAAGTCTGTGCCTGAAACAGCTATCTCATTTATAACCCCACCTTTCAATGAGTCCTGGAATTTTTTTAGGAATCATACACCTAAGAATAATTAGAAACTTCTAATTGTTATCAGAGCTCTGTAAATAACTTCTTTGTATCAAACTTATTTATATGTTTCCCTTTAAACTAGTCTTTGAGCTCCCATTGAATGAGGATGTATACATATTCATGTACTCAGATACATGTATACATATGTACTGTTTTTAATCTTGGCATCCCTCACAGCACAGACAGGAGTCTACGTTTGGTGAATGCTGTTGAATTGGACTGACTGCATTTCAGCATCGGTGTGATGATGAGTCAGGGCAGCCTAGGAGCAGGAGGCTGATCACTGATCTCTTGACCTTTCTCTTAATAACCAGTCACCAGATTATGATGCCAGTCACTATAGCCAGCCAAGAGGCCATGCAGCTTAGCACTCTAAACCGAAAAGCCAGAGGGGAGACCCATTGTCTTATGGCTGCAGTTCTTAGTTTCATTTGTATTTCTACTTAAGATTATTATATTGCTGGGAACCTTTGACTTGGGCCAGATGACTTTTAAAAACTGTTAAAGTAGCACCTCATAATAACAACCAGAATGCTGAAAGAACAATTTGGTGCTGATTAATTAAATTTTTTAATTACTAAGTGGTTGGATATATCTTTTATATTTAAAATGTTGTGCCCGGCCAGAATGGCTCAGTGGTTGAGCCTCAACCTATGAACCAGCAGGTCACAGTTCAATTCCCAGTCAGGGCACATGCCTGGGTTGTGGGCTCCATCCCCAGTAGGGGGCGTGCAGGAGGAAGTCAATCAATGATTCTCTCTCATCATTGATATTTCTATTTCTCTCTCCCTCTCCCTTCCTCTCTGAAATATAATAAAAAATATTTTTTTAAAAATGAAATGACGTGGTTATTTTTTAATGTATTATTTAAATTTCTTGCTAAAAAGGGCAGACTAAATATCAGACAATCTCAGGCAACTTAGATTTCTAAAAAATTTTCAGGTGATCATTATGATCACCAGTCCACACTGTTCAGTAATGTGAATATGGAAGGTGTAGGAGGTTGCATTTGATTTTTTTTCGAGCGCAGAATATATTAGAGAAGCTGGTAGATTGGGGAGAATAAATACGCAATATTAGTTTATCTTTTTGTCACATGCTCTTTCTCTTCAGAGAGAAATTTTTGAAGTTCACTTTATATGTCTAGAAGTTGGCTTACTGAGAATTCATATAGTGCAATAAAAGAAAAACAAGGGAATGTTCATTTAACAGAAGATTCTACATAAATTGCACCTGATTATTTGAAACTTCACCATGATTCTAAAAATTTATTTTAAATGATGTAATAATTCTTGATTGACAAATAATTAAACATCTTTTTTAAAAACTTTCGTCATGTTCTAAATCTGTTCTTTTTTCCCCTTGTTTATTCCCTCCATCAGTTTTCTTTGTATTTGTTTCTTTCCCTTCATAATTTTTTCTTCCTAACTACCCTGTTGTGAAAGTAAACACCTCAGATTATATATATATGGCTAATATGCTAAGTGTCCTTCCCTCTGTCCAGGTAATTCACGTAGCTACGCCCGGCTTCCTCTTCCTAGTTTCAGGTTTTCTCACTGTGCAGAATATAGGCAAACACTGCTGCAGTTAAATATTTCACCCTTCGCTCCCCCTTCATGATCTACAATAATAATTTGCTTGACGTTGATATTTACTGCTGTGTTGCTGACAATTACCTGAAAAAGAAGTTGGGGTGCTTCACTGGGCTGGAAAAAGTTAAGCTAAATCAGAAAGCAGGTCTAACTAAGCAGGTTTGTTCTATATCTGTAAAAGGCTAAGTAGACTTGTGCATGTGTGATACATATAAAGCTCTCGCCTGCACCAATCTCACACATGTGTTTCCATCTGTCATTGTTGATCATGAATTTGGTTGACACTTCTATTATAGAGAAAGGGTGAATAGCAATATTAAAATATTTCTTCTAATTAATTTCCTTTCAATGTGCACGAATTCGTGCAACAGGCCACTAGTAGGTATATATCTGGCTAAGGACTGTGAGATTTGATCACATATCAAAAAGCAGTATTGGGTTAGCAGAACAGTGTTCGATTTCTATGAGTCTTGCTTTAAGGCCCTAGGGGTAAGGTGACTACACTCACTTTACAGGACTCTTGAGCATGAAGTGTTGTTATTTATTTAGAAATCCATGGGGCAGGGGTGGGAGGTACACTAAAGGAATAAAGTTTACAATATTGTGGTGCTCACTGCCCCCAATTCACAACTATTCATTTGGATTAGTTGTGAGCACAATACCTAGCATTTAGTAGGAGTGCAGTACAAAGTAGTTCTCTTCCCTCTCCTTCCCTTAGAAGACGCCCCTTATCCACAGCAATCTCTGTGTATATCTCTTTCCTCTTATGAATTCAGCTATGTTCTTCTTTTTTTCATTTATTGGGATGACATTGTTAATAAGATTAGCAGTGGTTCTCAACCTTCTGGCCCTTTAAATACAGTTCCTCATGTTGTAACCCAATCATAAAATTATTTTCGTTGCTACTTCATAACTGTAATGTTGCTACTGTTATGAATTGTAATGTAAATATCTGATATGCAGGATGGTCTTAGGCGACCCCTGTGAAAGGGTCGTTCGACCACCAAAGGGGTCGCGACCCACAGGTTGAGAACCGCTGGATTATAGGCTTCAGATGTACTTTTCTATGATACATGATCTGTATATTGCATTGTGTGCTCACCACCCAAAATTGTACCCCCTTTACCTATTACTACCTTCACCCCCTTCCCTCTGGTATCTTCCATACTATTTTCTGTGTCTATGAGTTTATTTTCCTTGTGTATTCATTTGTTGTTTTATAGCCCACGTATGAGTGAAATCATATGAGCTATGTTCTTATTTAAATTTCTTTGCACTGCACCAGCTTAAGAGACTTAGTAATAGGAAAACAGCAAAAAGTATACAAAAACAATTCACAAGAACATGTAACCAACAACCAAATGCTTAACCTTACCATTAAATAATTTAAAATGCAGATTATTGATAAAAACATTTTAATCTATCATATTGGCCAACATTTTTAAAATTTATAATACCCACACTGGGTTAGGGAACAGGAAAATGGTCACTCTCATATGCTTGGTAGGAGTGTAAATTGATGCCACCTATTTCAGAACTCTTAAGGTTTTTGGTTCAGCTAAAGGTAGCATTCTCTGTCTAAACGTCTGCCAAGTCATTAGACAAAATTGCAAGGACAACTGACTGTGGTGACACCCTTTCCAAAGTTCAGCCTGATTGAGCAATGAGGTGGGGATGGATTTGCTTGTTTTCCTAATGACAGATTATCTCAATCTCTCAATCTCTCTTTCAGTTCTCTTGAGGTTGCTCTCTTGCCTTCTTTTAATTAGCTAGTAGAAAAACCAGCATTTGAACTTTATCTTCCCTGTAAGTAGACTGCATTATCCTGGTTTTCAGAACTCTAACTGGATAGCTTGGGGAATGTTTGTTTGAAGGAATCCTTGCTACCCAGTTGTGATCTTGTCATACATTTGATTCTTGTACCTTTCTCCTTGACATTGATGTATATGCCATGGCCAAGGTTGTATCAGTCACTATCCTAGACATTTAAGAATAAATCTAGTCAATTCCCAAAGCCTTTCTTCTTTTGAATTTGAATTTGCAGTTAGCTCAGGTGATGTTTTTATTTGCCTTTTTGGTTCTTTTCAGCAAGTTTTAAAAATCACTAAGCTCTACAGACTTGAACAGCCCGTCATTTCCCACCCCCAGAGTCTAGAGTGGTGCCACCACAGATGTTTGCTGAATGACAATTTGTGGCTAAATATTTACTTAAAACTTATGTGGATTTTTAAAATTCAGTACTGAAGTTTTAAATAGCATTTCACTTTAAAATTGTGTTCTCTAAGAAAAAGTCAGACATTGTACTTTTAAAGAAGATATTTGATTATACATAATCTCTTCCTCCTCTGCTTTTGCTTTCATATGCAAATAAATAAATAATATCAAATTTATTCTTTATTTATTTTACAATTCTTGAAATTATGTATGCCCCAGAATCTTTCTCTAAAGCTAATGTTGAAATTATTAAACACATTAGACTGAAAAATCAGATTTTCTTTTTATCTTGATGAAAACTTGGTATTTACTATATTTTAGTTCTGATAGTTATATAAAAGTAGTCATTCTGAATAGAGAAATGAAAAACAAAGGGCTAATACTTTCAACAATAAAGATTTTTTAAAAAGAAAGAAAGAGAAGGGCTGGCAATAAGGAAAGAAAAGACAATAATCTTTTATTGTCTTTGACAATAAAAGGTCTGGCAATAATCGATTCAGGTTCCATCAATTGATAGGTAACTAGACAGTTTATACAATTAGACAATCTTGGTTGGAACAAACTCATGGTATCTCTTATTGTTCAACCAGCAAACAACTCAGCTAGTTGAGTACTAATATACAAGCAGGTGCTAGTTACTGTTTAATCTTGTCTTCACTGTATTTTGGTAAGCTTATATATACCTTGGTGGCTTTATTATACATTTGCCTATTCTGGACATTTCACATAAGTGGAAATCATATAATATCGCCTTTGTGACTGGTTTCTTTCCTTTAGCATGATATTTTCACGTTCATCCATGTTGTGGCATGAATCATCACTTTATGTTTGAATAATATCTCATTGTTTAGATATACCAATATTATAAAGATTTCGTGTGCTTGTATTAGATTGGTGGAATTTGGGGTGGTATATTTTTTTATTTTCTGTAATATCTTTAGTTGTGGATAAGTTACTTTTAAATTAAAGGGTTATCAAAATAGAGTAACTATAGTGTCAGTTTAGTTCAACAATCAGAGTATCTAAACATCTTAGTTTTTTTATATACTTCTGAAAGATTGCATAGTCATTTGAGCTTGTGTTAATTTTATGTTTAAATTCCAGATCATCAAGTTATTGGATGGAAAACGATCTCAAACTGTGGGAATCTTGATATCTAGTTTGCATTTAGAAATGAAGGATATCCAGCAGGGTAAGTCTTCTCTACCATTTTTCCCAAAAACTTTAATTTTTTTCAGCATTTTATTGTGAAAGATTTCAAACATATACAAAATTAGGATGCCACAGTGAATCCCATGTGCCACTGCCCAACTACAAAACAATCAGTTTTCTCTTATTTCATCTGAAACACCCTTTCTCCACCAACTATGAAGCAAAACTCAGACATAATTCATCTGTTAAAAATGTTAGTACATGGCTAAAAGATAAGGACACTTTCAAGCATAACTCCAGTGCCATTATCATGTACTTGAAAACATTTACAGTGATTTCTCAAGATCATCAAATATGTAGTAGTTCTAATTTCCCTGATTGTCTGTATACTCACTGATTCATCCTTTTGTTTATAGTTAGTTTGATTGAGGATCCAAACAAATTTTATGCATTGCCTTTGATGTGTCTCTCAGGTTTCTTTTAATCTAAAAGTTTCTACCATCCATCTTTTTTTTTGCCTTTTGTAATTAATATTTTGATGAAACCATGTCACTTTGTCCTATGGAGTTTCCCATATTTGCTGATTGTATTACCATGTTTTTATTATGTTCTTCTGTCCCCTGTGGTTCCTGTAAGCTGTCAGTTTGCTCTAGAGACTTAACCTGAGTGGGGGAAAATATGTTATATATACTATTGAATATTCTGTTAAGAAGTACATCATATCTGGTCGTCTCTTTATGATGTTAGTGAGCACTAATGATCTTTACCTAGATTCATTATTTTATTAGAAGTTTTCAAAATAATAATATACAAATTCCATCATTTCTTCATTACTTGGGACACTATTCTGGAGAAACACTTTTTCTATTTTTCTTGCTTTGTCTTTTTTTTAATAAAAGGTATTGGGGTGACATTAGTTAATAAGGCCATATAGTTTTCAAGTGTACATTCCTATGATACACAATCTGTATATTGCATTGTGTTTACACCACCCAAAGTCAAATAATCTTCCGTCACCATATATTTGGTTCCCTTCACCCTTTACCATGCCCTCCCTTTCCCAATGTTAACCACCATACTGTTGTCTGTGTCTGAGTTTCAGTTTTATATCCCACATATGAGTGAAATCATATGGTTCTTAGCTTTTTCTGACTTATTTTGCTTAAGATAATATTCTCAAGGACCTTGAAACTTTTTGATTCATCTACTTGTTCTGTTATTGTTTCTTAATCCCTTCTTTTTTTCAAATGACCCTCTTTCAATTTGGTTGTCTTTGGCTCAGTTTGAAATGAGACATTTAAAGAGGAAATTTTACCTGTGTATATTGTTCTTAGTAGAAAAGTTGACCAAAAGAGATTTTGCTTTTTGAAATCTTCGTCTTACATTAAAATAATACTCCCCTTTCTCAGTAATCAATTAAATGTAAATCTTTTTGTTGTTATTGTTGCTGTTGTTAATCCTCACCCAAGGATATTTTTTCCATTGCTTTGTAGAGAGCAGAAAGGAGGGATGGAGAGGGAGAGGGAAAGAAGAGACAGAGAGGAGAGAGAGAGAGAGAGAGAGAGAGAGAGAGAGATATCAGTGAGAAGGAGAGAGACTTAGTTGTTTCCAGCAGATGCCCAGGGCCAGGAATCAAACTTGAGACCCTTTGGTGTGTAGGCTGGCACTAACCATTCAGGTACACCAGCCAGGGCTATAAATTGTTATTTTAACATGTCACTGACAGTATTTTCTGAGTAGTAATACAGTCTCTTATAGATACTTTCAGTAGAATTTAGCATGAGTTTAACAGTGGAGACACTCTCAAACCACACTACCCAGGTTTCAGTCTGTGTTGCCTCAAAGTTATTTTGCTTTGGTAGCCAGCAGAAGACTCCCATAAGTTTTGAACTAAAAAATGCTTATGATACTTTCACACACTACTATTCCTCTCAAAGGAGCTTTGTTAAGGTCTTAACATTTTGCTTTATTGCAAACATTAAAAATTCCACATAAAACTAAAAAGTTTTCAGAGTATTCAAATAAGCTGTCTAGGTCCAGCCAATATGGCTTAGTAGTTGAGCGTCGACCTATGAACCATGTGGTCAGGGTTCGATTTCCAGTCGGGGCACATGGCTGGGTTGCGAGCACAATCCCCAGTGTGGAGCATGCAGGAGGCAGCCAATCAATGATTCTCTCATCACTGATCTCTCTCTCCCTCTTCCTTCCTCTCTAAAATCAATAAAAATATATTCAAATAAGCTGTCTATTTTTAGTGTTTACGCTTAAGAGTAGAATGAAATACATAACTATGAATATTAAACATGCAAAGATGTTGCAGTAATTGATTTGAATTAGAGGCTGAGGATGGCTTAAAAAATGTCAGCCATCAGAATTAGAAAGGAATTCTTTAGTAACTTTAGGTATTAGGCTTTCTAGAAGAACTGAGTTTTGGGTAAATTCATACCAGGAAATTATGATGCTAGGACAAAGGAAAAATGAAAAAATAAAACAAAACAGAAAACTATCAGCAGGGAAGTAGTCTTATGTCCACAATCCTAACATTTTTGATGGGGTTATTGAAATTAGAAAACGGTCCTTTCATGTTCAGTGGCAGAGTCTTGTCCTAAACAACAGCATTCTTCAGAAGCCTGGTGAAGCCAAGCATGCGTGGTTTCACCACCAGGGTGCAGAGCACTATGGATATGAGCTTTCACACTGGCAATAGCACCTGAGACTGTATTCAGTTCTTTCTCAGCATGTCCTGCTGTAGGACAGCAGATTGCCATGTGGGTAAGATTCACTCCAGCCACGTGGTAGTCCAGTCACCAACTCAGGACCATAAGCCTTGTGGATTGAATGCCCATTGTGAGTCATGTAAAGAGACCTTTCCAATATTCTGCTCTGGACAAGAATATGCTTATGAGAAGCATAAGTGAACTGACATTTGAACGTTAGAAACGTCATTTGTAGCATTGCATACTTCTGGGACGCGTGGGCGCCATTTTCCTTTCCTCCTGCTCCAGGCACCTCCGAAATCCACCACAGAGTTGGCTCCTAAGCTCCATTTCATGTCTTCATTTAGTAATGCACTCCAGATGAATACAGCACTATAACCTGAGCTTAATTTTTCTTTAGAGTCATTTGACTGACACTGGCATCTGAAGGTCACTTAGGAGCCGGGCTATGTCAGTTACATTTCACTCTGAGCCCATGTCTGGTCGTGAATGGAATGCACTTGGCCTTGTGTTGTCATCCTGATGAAAGGACTCCCTGTGCTGACATTGGCCTAAAACATTTGTTTTAATGTGGGGTGTGTGGCTGCAGTGAGATCTGATTGGGGCAGGCCCATTGGCAGCCAGGCAAGGTTGCACAGCACGACAACCGTGGTGAAATGACCACAGTTCAGAGACTGTTCTTCAGCCTCCTGGTCATGTATTCATCTTTCCACTGCACAAATGCACTAACTTTCACTTTTCAAACTTGTAAGGCACCAATGTATAAACCACACAGCCAGTGTATTCACCTAGAGCAGTGGTTCTCAACCTTCTGGCCCTTTAAATACAGTTCCTCATGTTGTGACCCAACCATAAAATTATTTTCATTGCTACTTCATAACTGTAATGTTGCTACTGTTATGAATCGTCATGTAAATATCTGATATGCAGGATGGTCTTAGGCGACCCCTGTGAAAAGGTAGTTCGACCGCCAAAGAGGTCACGACCCACAGGTTGAGAACCGCTGACTTAGAGAATTTTCCTTTGTCGCGATGAAAATATTTATCATATCTGTTCATCATCACCTCCATGTCAGTTGTCTCCTCTTGGCATTATATATTGTTTATGCCTTCTTCCCCTTTGCTGAGATTACAGGTTGGTCACTTAGATAATAGGTTGCGGTATTTCAGTCCACAATTACCTCCCATACATGGGTGATCCAGTTTTTACTGATTCAAGTCTTAAAAAGAAACCTGGTTCTCGTTTGTAGGGTGGGCATTTCTCCATTGTCCACTAGATGCTGGCTGTAAGTGTGTACTCAAGAAGTGAAATTTGGGGCTCTATACCTCAAAGTCTTAAAGCTGCAAGTAGAGAGCTAGTGTCTCTTTCATTATGTCATGTTCCATTTTTTGCTAAGAATTTCTCTGCTATAATTAAGCATCATTTAAAACTAATTGGGCTAATATATCATATGTAAAAGTCAGACAATAAATGTTTTTAATTTAATTTAAAAAAGAAACTGAACCTTAGATGGAATCTGAATGTTGTGTATTCCATTAGTGCATTTGGACAAATTCTTTTCTT